GAGAGATGGGTATAATAGCAGATACGGCGGGAGAGAGCGTGAGCTATACGACGGCCAATTTTTAAAATTTGTTTTTCGAATTTTGACGCTGTCTAACATATTCTGTTTGGGATATTTTTGACAGTACAGACAAACTGAGTGGATTTAAATTCTTGGGAGATTCGTAGGTTGAATATTAAGTCGTTTTTTAATCGATGTTGCCTTTGGCGTTGTTGCCGTTGCTTCTTAAACTGCTTTGGCTACTTGGACTACTTGGGCAGCGAGCGTCTTCCTGCACTTTCAACCATCTGTTTGCTCGGTTGCCAAGCTTGTGTTTGGGCGTTTGTTTGCTTTCCATTCGTTTGTCTACTCATTTCTCCGCCGTTCGTTCAGTTGTTATTGTTTGTGGAGGGGACATCCGTCTCTTAACTCCTTATCAAAACATACCGAGAGCCGAAGCTGCTTTGCTTGTTATCAAAATATCAAAGAAAACATCCCCACAGCGTGGTGGTTTTTCTTTGCTTTGAAACGAAACGAAACGAAACATAAACAGATCCTCCACGAAAACATCCACGCAACGCGCGAGTAATATCACCGGAAGAACTGGATACAATGTCTGAAAATAACTTAAGATGGATTACCTTGGATATAAGACCTATATGGGGGATTCACTCTCTTACCCGTCGAAACCATAATTTCATTCAGAAAACTGGAAAGCGAGCACGCACTTCAAAGTAGCGGGAGCTAAAATAAAACACGCAACCCAATTGGTCTAAGCCAATGACTCGACAAAGCAAGTCGGGAAATGATATCGTATCATTCCCCGCGGGGCTATGTAGCCTCACTTCCTAATGACATGAGTTTTATTTTTCACTGCTTTATAACGCTGATATGAAGTTACACATAGCAATCCTTTACGGAATATATTTAACCGATTAAAAGGGGAAATACCACTCAGGCCGGGAAAGTGCGGTTAGCGAAGTCGCGAATGTTGAAATATCAAATACTGTTACCATCATACCTAAAGTTGTAACTGAGGTGAAACCTGAAGACTGTTTGTG